CCCAGGGACCTGCTGCGCATGGGGGTGACGCTGGCCGGGCAGCAGAGCCTGCAGAGCCCCCCCAAAGGGGACCCCCAGTGCTGACACCGCCCCCGGCCCCGCCCACGGCAAGATGGCCGCCGGGGAGAGGCGCTAAGGAACAAAGATGGATGGGGGAGCAAGATGGCTGCCGGGACAATATGGCTGCTGGGACAACATGGCTGCCAGGGACAACATGGCTGGCATTCCAATATGGCTGCCAGGACAACATGGCTGCCAGGGACAACATGGCTGCCGTTCTAATATGGCTGCCAGGACAACATGGCTGCCCATTCAATATGGCTTCCCATTCAATATGGCTGCCATTCCAACATGGCCACCAATCCAATATGGCTTCCAATCCAACATGGCTGCCATTCCAACATGGCTGCCATTCCAACATGGCTGCCAGGACAATAAGGCTCCACCCACCAACGACCCGGTGGGCGGGGCCTGCATGGGGTGATCTCAGGGGCGGAGCCCGCGTGGGCGTGGCCACCAACGGGCGCGGTCGGACCCGAGTGGGCGTGGCCAACCCGGGCGCGGTCACCGACGGGCGTGGCCAACCCGGGCGCGGTCAGCGATGGGCGTGGCCAACACGGGCGTGGTCACCGACGGGCGTGGCCAACACGGGCGCGGTCAGCGATGGGCGTGGCCAACACGGGCGTGGTCACCGACGGGCGTGGCCAACACGGGCGCGGTCAGCGATGGGCGTGGTCACTGATGGGCGTGGCCCCGCTGCTTTTATTGTCCCCAATTCCGGTCACAGCCAATAAACGCGGCCGATGCAAATGAGGGGGCGGGGCCGTCCCCAGGGCCACCGCCCCGACCCCCCCTTTGTCCCCGAGTGTCACCAAGGGCCACCCCCACCCCCGATGTCCCCGCAGTCCCCGCTGTCCCCGAGGCCGCCCCCGATGTCCCCGATGTCCCCGGTGTCCCCGCTGTCCCCGGCCAGCGCCCCGGCCGTGCCGCGCAGGGTCCAGGCCAGCAGCGCCAGCCGCAGCCGGACACTGGCCCCCGCTGTCCCCTCGCTGTCCCCTCGTGTCCCTGTGCCATCCCCTGCTGTCCCTTCGTTGTCCCCTCGTGTCCCCGCGTTGTCCCCTCGTGTCCCCACACTGTCCCCTGGTGTCCCCGCGTTGTCCCCTGGTGTCCCCGAGGTCCCCTCATTGTCCCCGGGTGTCCCTGGTGTCCCCTCCCTGTCCCCACGTGTCCCTGTGCCATCCCCGCGTGTCCCCTCGTTGTCCCCTCGTGTCCCTGTGCCATCCCCTCGTGTCCCCGCGTTGTCCCCTGATGTCCCCTCGTTGTCCCCTCGTGTCCCCACACTGCCCCCTGCTGTCTCCGAGGTCCCCATGCTGTCCCCTCCTGTCCCCGTGCCATCCCCTGCTGTCCCCGTGCCACCCCCGCGTGTCCCCTCGCTGTCCCTTGGTGTCCCCTCATTGTCCCCACGTGTCCCTGTGCCATCCCTGCGTGTCCCCGAGTTGTCCCTTGGTGTCCCCTCCCTGTCCCCCGCTGTCCCCGCTGTCCCCAGCTCGGCCACCAGCGCCGCCAGCGTGTGCCCCCCCCGGCCCAGCAGGACGTGGCGGAACGGGGACACCAGAGGGGACACGAACGGGGACAGCAGCGACGCCTCGGCCTGCGGGGACAGGGACAGCCTCAGGGGGGACACGGGGACAGGGACGGGGACAGAGGGGACACGGGGACAGGGGACAGCCTCAGGGGACAGGGACAGGGGGGACAGGGACAGGGACAGGGACACGGGGGACACAGGGACAGCCTCAGGGGGGACACGGGGACAGGGACAGGGACAGGGGGACACGGGGACAGCCTCAGGGGACAGGGGGACAGGGACAGGGACAGAGGGGACATGGGGACAGGGGACAGCCTCAGGGGACAGGGACAGGGGGGACAGGGACAGGGACAGGGACACGGGGGACACAGGGACAGCCTCAGGGGGGACACGGGGACAGGGACAGGGACAGGGGGACACGGGGACAGCCTCAGGGGACAGGGGGACAGGGACAGGGACAGAGGGGACATGGGGACAGGGGACAGCCTCAGGGGACAGGGACAGGGGGGACAGGGACAGGGACAGGGACACGGGGGACACAGGGACAGCCTCAGGGGGGACACGGGGACAGGGACAGGGACAGGGGGACACGGGGACAGCCTCAGGGGACAGGGGGACAGGGACAGGGACAGAGGGGACATGGGGACAGGGGACAGCCTCAGGGGACAGGGACAGGGGGGACAGGGACAGGGACAGGGACACGGGGGACACAGGGACAGCCTCAGGGGGGACACGGGGACAGGGACAGGGACAGGGGGACACGGGGACAGCCTCAGGGGACAGGGGGACAGGGACAGGGACAGAGGGGACATGGGGACAGGGGACAGCCTCAGGGGACAGGGACAGGGGGGACAGGGACAGGGACAGGGACACGGGGGACACAGGGACAGCCTCAGGGGGGACACGGGGACAGGGACAGGGACAGGGGGACACGGGGACAGCCTCAGGGGACAGGGGGACAGGGACAGGGACAGAGGGGACATGGGGACAGGGGACAGCCTCAGGGGACAGGGACAGGGGGGACAGGGACAGGGACAGGGACACGGGGGACACAGGGACAGCCTCAGGGGGGACACGGGGACAGGGACAGGGACAGGGGGACACGGGGACAGCCTCAGGGGACAGGGGGACAGGGACAGGGACAGAGGGGACATGGGGACAGGGGACAGCCTCAGGGGACAGGGACAGGGGGGACAGGGACAGGGACAGGGACACGGGGGACACAGGGACAGCCTCAGGGGGGACACGGGGACAGGGACAGGGACAGGGGGACACGGGGACAGCCTCAGGGGACAGGGGGACAGGGACAGGGACAGAGGGGACATGGGGACAGGGGACAGCCTCAGGGGACAGGGACAGGGGGGACAGGGACAGGGACAGGGACACGGGGGACACAGGGACAGCCTCAGGGGGGACACGGGGACAGGGACCAGGTGACCCCGGTGACACTCAGGTGACCCTGGTGACACTGAGGTGACACTGAGGTGACCCCCAGGTGACCCCAGGTGACACTGAGGTGACACTCAGGCGACCCCAGGTGACATCCAGGTGACCCAGGTGACACTGAGGTGACCCCGGTGACCCCCGGGTGACCCCGGTGACCCCGGTGACCCCCGGGTGACCCCGGTGACCCCAGGTGACCCCCAGGTGACATTCAGGTGACCCCGGTGACCCCGGTGACACTCAGGTGACCCCGGTGACACTGAGGTGACCCCCGGTGACCCCCAGGTGACCCCAGGTGACACCCAGGTGACCCCGGTGACCCCCGGTGACCCCCAGGTGACCCCAGGTGACCCCCAGGTGACCCCAGGTGACCCCCACAGACCACCCAGGTGACCCCGGTGACCACAGGTGACCCCCAGGTGACCCCAGGTGACACTCACGGCCATGAGGCGCGCGTTGAAGCCGCGGTTCAGGCGCTCGTCGCCGCTCTCCGACCCCGACATGTCGCGACGCAGCGCGGCCGCCGCGCGCACCACGCCCCCCCTGGCCGAGGAGAGGCACTGCAGGGACAGCCCCCGCGCCTGGGGGGTTATACTGGTTAGACTGGTTATACTGGTTAGACTGGGACAGACTGGTTATACTGGTTATACTGGGGGCACTGCACCACGCCCCCCCTGGCCGAGGAGAGGCACTGCAGGGACAGCCCCCGCGCCTGGGGGGGGTTAGACTGGTTATACTGGGTATACTGGTTATACTGGGACAGACTGGTTATACTGGTTATACTGGTTACACTGGTTATAGTGGGGGCACCGCACCACGCCCCCCCTGGCCGAGGAGAGGCACTGCAGGGACAGCCCCCGCGCCTGGGGACACGGGACTGGTTAGACTGGTTAGACTGGGACAGACTGGTTATACTGGTTATACTGGTTACACTGGTTATAGTGGGGGCACCGCACCACGCCCCCCCTGGCCGAGGAGAGGCACTGCAGGGACAGCCCCCGCGCCTGGGGGGGGGACTGGTTATACTGGGATGGACTGGTTAGACTGGTTAGATTGGGATGGACTGGTTATACTGGTTAGACTGGGTATACTGGGGTGGAATGCCCTCCCAGTACCTTCCCAGTGCCCCCAATACCTTCCCAGTCCCCCCAGTCCCTCCCAGTGTCCCCATTGCCCCCCAGTGCCCCCCCAGTCCCCCCAGTGCCCTCTCCCCAGTGTCCCCATTGCCCCCCATTGCCCCCCAGTCCCCCCAGGGCCGCACTGGTCCCTACTGGTCGGACCTGCAGCGGGCCCAGCTGCCGCACCAGCGCGTCCCCGAGCGCGCGCGGCTCCAGCGGCAGCCGGGGCTCGTGGGCCAGCCGGAGCAGGAGCTGCGCGGCCACGGCGGCCACGGCGCGCGCCACCGCGGGCAGCCGGCCCCGCAGCCGCGTCCCCAGGCGGGACAGCGTGTCCTCGGGTGTCCCCAGGGCCGCCCAAGAGCCACCACCGGCCACCTGAGGGGACACGGAGTGACATGGGGTCACACAGAGTGACACACGGACACGGCGCGCGCCACCGCGGGCAGCCGGCCCCGCAGCCGCGTCCCCAGCCGGGACAGCGTGTCCTCGGGTGTCCCCAGGGCCGCCCAAGAGCCACCACCGGCCACCTGAGGGGACACGGAGTGACATGGGGTCACACAGAGTGACACACGGACACGGCGCGCGCCACCGCGGGCAGCCGGCCCCGCAGCCGCGTCCCCAGCCGGGACAGCGTGTCCTCGGGTGTCCCCAGGGCCGCCCAAGAGCCACCACCGGCCACCTGAGGGGACACGGAGTGACATGGGGTCACACAGAGTGACACACGGACACGGCGCGCGCCACCGCGGGCAGCCGGCCCCGCAGCCGCGTCCCCAGCCGGGACAGCGTGTCCTCGGGTGTCCCCAGGGCCGCCCAAGAGCCGCCACCGGCCACCTGAGGGCACACGGAGTGACACAGGGTGACATGGGGTCACACACGGTGACACACGGTGACACACGGTGACACACGGTGACACAGGGTGACACGCGGTGACACACAGTGACACACGGTGACACGGGGACACCGCGCGCGTCACCGCGGGCAGCCGGCCCCGCAGCCGCGTCCCCAGGCGGGACAGCGTGTCCTCGGGTGTCCCCAGGGCCGCGTGGGAGCCACCACCGGCCACCTGAGGGGACACGGAGTGACATGGGGTCACACAGAGTGACACACGGACACGGCGCGCGCCACCGCGGGCAGCCGGCCCCGCAGCCGCGTCCCCAGCCGGGACAGCGTGTCCTCGGGTGTCCCCAGGGCCGCGTGGGCACCGCCACCGGCCACCTGAGGGGACACGGTGACACACGGGGTCACACAGGGTGACACAGAGTGACACAGAGTGACACGGGGTCACACAGAGGGAACGCGGTCATGGGGGACACAAAGGGGACATTGGGGACGGGGCAGGGAGGGGACACAGGGACACGGTCCGGACATGGGGACAGCCGAGGGCAGGGACAGAGGGACACAGGGGGGGGTGTGGGAGCGCCTGGGGACACCTGGGGACACTTGGGGACATTGGGGACACCTGGGGACACCTTGGGGACACCTGAGGACACTCAGGAATGCTTTGGGGACACTTGGAAACACTCAGGGACACCTGGGGACACCTGGGGACACTCGGGAACACCTGGGGACACCTTGGGGACACCTGAGGACAACCGGGGACACCTTGGGGACACCTTGGGGACACTCAGGGACACATGGGGACACCTTGGGGACACCCGAGGACACCTTGGGGACACCTGGGGGACACCTTGGGGACACCTGAGGACACCTCGGGGACACTCAGGGACACATGGGGACACCTGAGGACACCTGGGGACACCCTGGGGACACTCAGGGACACCTGGGGACACCTTGGGGACACCTTGGGGACACCTTGGGGACACCTGGGGACACCTTGGGGACACTCAGGGACACTCGGGGACACTCAGGGACACCTGGGAACACCTGAGGACACTTGGGGACACTCAGGGACACCTGGGGACACTCGGGGACACCCTGAGAACACTCAGGGACGCTTTGGGGACACCTCGGGGACACTCGGGGACACACAGGAACACCTCGGGGACACCTGGGGACACCCTGGGGACACTCAGGGACACCTGGGAACACCTGAGGACACTTGGGGACACCTGGGGACACCTCGGGGACACTCGGGGACACCTTGGGGACACCTGGGGACACCTGGGGACCCCGGGGACAGCCGGCCCCACCTCGTCGAAGGCCAGCTCCAGCGCCGGGACCCCCGCGGCCGCCGTGAAGGGGAAGGCGCCGCCCTGGGGGTCCAGGGGGCGGATCCTGCGGGGACAGGGGGGGGCGCGGTGGCACTGGGGGGCACCCGAGCTGTCCCCGGGGTGTCCCCCAGTGTCCCCAAGTGTCCCCAACCTCACCCAAATCCGAGACCACGCCCCTCCCTGACCACGCCCCTCCCCGACCACGCCCCTCCCCGGCCCCGCCCCGGCCCCGCCCTCACCCTCTCGGCCAATGGCGGCGAAGAACCGCGCGAGCTCCAGCAGGAGGGCGGTGCCCACGCCCGAGGCCGCCGCCCCCGGCCCCAGCGAATCGCGTTGGGCGCCCACGATGATGTAACAGTCTGGGCGGGGCTGGCGTCAGCGAGGCCACGCCCCCTCCAGCCACCTCCCCACCCCATTGGCCACGCCCGTGTCTTGCCCCGCCCACTCTGAGCACGCCCGTGTGTCAATGCAACGTTGGCCACGCCCCCTGACCACACCCAATTTAGCCACGCCCCATCCCCATTATTCCCATTGCCCCGCCCTCCTCTGGCATGACCACGCCCATCATCTGACCACACCCAGTGACCACACCCAATTTAGCCACGCCCCATCCCCATTATCCCCATTGCCCCGCCCTCCTGTAACCCCTCCCTTCCCATGACCACACCCACACTGACCACACGCCTCCCACCTTGACCACACCCTCTGACCACACCTATTTCAGCCACGCCCCATCCTCATTATTCCCATTGCCCCGCCCTCCTCTGGCATGGCCACGCCCACCATCTGACCACACCCACTATGACCACACCCAGTGACCACACCCAAT